CAGTACGTCCCTACAACAGCGACTTCGCAGTTACTAACATTATATATCATTTATATTCATCCACTACTATATCGATATTATAATCAACTAACAGTGGCCATATTGATAACTTATATATCAACATCATCATTAATGATAGCATCCCTACCTGCAGCCTCTCCCGTGAGGGGATTTGTGTGCCGCGCCAAGCCCAAGTCCGATATCTTCCCATGACGCTGGTCTGCCGTTAGTAGTATCTTCAACAGCACTATACACGTCCAAGACGGTAAAAATTGAGCGGCTGGGATTCGAACCAGAGACCTCCGGGACCAAGCCAAAGCCCTACATACATTCTCAGGCTTGAGGTCCCGATGGATGATGTTGTGGCTGTGCATATAAGCAACTCCACTGCAAAGGTCGCGGAAGAGCACTCGAGCATCGGGCTCTCGATACCTAATAGCTCATCACGATGAGGCAAAGGTGTGGTATTACGCGCCGTGACTGAGGAGCCTTTCCAGCAGGTCTCCGCCTTGCATCAATTCAGTTACAATAAAGAGGCTTCGATGGTTCTCGAAGTACGTATAAAATTTGACGATGGCTGGATGGTCCAACTCCCGTAGGACTTCGAACTCGGACCTGATGAAGAAGAGTTCAGAAAGGAGTGGTATGACCCAAGCCTACCGAAATGTGACGCTATTGGACTTGGTGCTTTGCTGGAACTTCAGCAGCTTAGCCAAATCCAACTCCTTCACGGCCACCTGCTTCCCCCCTTCCTTTTTCTCCGTCGCACTATGAACCGTCGCGAAGTTCCCTTGCCCGAGACGAGCGTTGATATAGTACCTGCCTCCTCATGAGACCCGACGCCCTCCCCCCATATTACAAGTCCTCCAGGGCACGTCCGGCGGTGTCCTTGGGAGGATCGGACGCCTCATACGAGGGTGAACTGATGACCTTCTTGCCGAGAGGACGGTCCACTTTCAAGCTGTCATCCGTGCCAAGTAATACACCGGTGTAATTGTACTCCATCAGGACAGCTCTGAATGTGAATTCCTTGAACAAAAAGCAAAAGTAGTCCAGTAGGGAGAATCCTCTGCTGTCATCCTACTATCCCAGGATCAACTCCCAGCGCCACCGTATCTTTTCCCTGACTTGCCAACGACACGTGATCTCCTGATTTCAACGGGTGCATCTGAAAACGTCAAAACTCCTCAGCCGGAAA